CTCTTTGGGTGGTGATGCAAGGCCTGGGAAGTTTCTTTTTAAATCAAATAAGAAAAGTGATTAATGCATTTTCTATTTACCCCTGCCATTACCCTTACTGACTCCTTTATCTTTTCATATGGTTTTAATTTACTATTTAGTATATTTTCATTTGCTCCTGGAAAACTCCCTCGGCATTTCTTATAGATAAAGTTGGCTTAGTAATAAACTCTCTGTGCTTTTTGAGAATGTCTACAATTATTCAGTTTGAAGTTTAATTTTGCTGGGCACGGAGTTTTTTGTATTTTTTTTTTTAATCTCAGAATTCCAAATATGCCATCTCGCTATCTTCTAGCCTATGTGGTTTAAGAAAATCAGCTGTTAATCTAATTGAGGATCTTGATACTGGAAAAGCCATTTTCTTTTAAGAGTCTGTCTTTCAAATGTTATGATGTTTCTAGGTCTAGAACACTTCGAGTTTATCCTCCTTGGAGTATACGGAGCTTATATGTGTAAATTAAAATCTTTATTCACATTAAGTAAAGTTTTCAAATACTTAAAAAATACACTTTTTCTCTCCTTTCTCTATTATTTGAGTCCCATCATGAACGTGTTGGGATACTGAATCATGTCCATTGGCCTCTGTGACTGTTCTTTTTTTTTTTTTTTTTTTTTTCTTTTTGTCTTCATTATTTCCTTCTTCAGCCTGGGTGAGTTCAGCTGAGTTACCTTCAAGTTCACCAATTCTTTCTGGCTGCTTATCTGCTGTTGAGACCTTAAAGTCTCAATTTTAAATAGTTGTACCTTTATTTTATTTTATTTTTGAGACAGGGTTTCTCTGTGTAGGCTTGGCTGCCTTGGACTTTGTAGACCAGGATAGCCTCTAAATCACAGAGCTCCACCTGCCTCTGCCTCCCAAGTGCTGGGATTATAGGTGTGTGCTGCCTTATTTGATTTATTTGTATCTTTCTTTTCAATCCCATGATTTATTTGTCTCATTTAAAAAGATTCCTGTCATTATTGATATTCTTTATTTGGCAAGAGACAATGCTTTAATTTTCTTTTAGTCATTTAGATATGTTTTCCTTTAGTCTTTGAACACATTTGAAGTGCTGGTTTAAAGTTTTTTTTTTAGTAAGGCTGCGCCCAGACTTCCTTGGGGACAGTTTCAACTGTTGGCTTTTGCTCTTGTGTATAGGCATTCTTTATTACATTTTTACATGTCTTGCATCTTTTTTGTTGTTGAAAACTAGACTTTTTTCTTTTCTTTTTTTTTTTTTTTACATTTATTATGTGCGTGCACACAGGTATTCATGTGTCAAAACGCTAATATGGAGGTCAAAGAACAGCTTTTGGGAGTTGATTCTCCCGTTCCACCATGTTGGTAGTCCAGGAACGGAGCTAAAATTGTCAGGCCTGGGAGCAAGTACCTTCACACACTAAGCCTTCTCACTAGCCCCCAATCCAGACACTTAATATAGTGGAGGGAAATCAAAGTTTGTTGTTATTGCTGCTGTATAAAATATTTTGAACATAGTACAAGACTTGAGCTAAATAGCCTTCAAGCCTGAAGTTCTTCAGAGAAGACTGCCTGTATGTTGATGTGGAACCCATCCCAGGAAAGCCAATAGTTTGAGACCCTAGTGTATTTGATAATGAGATAATGATGCCCTTTAAGGGTCCCCAAATACCATACATAAGCTCTGCTTCTACCGCCAAGGCCCTGAAATCTATAGGTTTTTTTGTCTTGTTTTCTTGGAATTACTCGAGTATGTTGTGCTCCAGATATCAAGTTCAAGGATCCTAGCCCAGGCCTGGGCAGCCGTGTCTGGAGAACTGGCTGGGCAAACTGAAGCCAGCTTCTATCCCAATAAGACAAAACGAGTAATGCCAAAACCTGCTGCAAGCTGGAGTGATCAGTGCCCAGATGTTCCGTGGGACAATAATTAGCCAGGAGTATCAGAGGTGCCTGCGATACGTAAAGAGAAACTATAATGGTTCACAAAAGCTCCAGAGGAAGCCAGAAGGAGGGACTGTTGGTCAGGGGAGACCTTTCCCAGGGAATGGCACACCACCTGAGAGGGCTCCTCTTCCTTTCCTGGTAAATTTAGGGTTTGTGGCAAGGTGAAGAGCGCAGGGGTCTGTCAAAGGTTGCTCCTGCCATCTGCAGACTGTACATACAGTTCACCTGAGGGGAACACAAAGACAATGCTAAGGTTCTCCAACCCTTCAGCTTCTCCAAGCTGTCCATTTGTGCAAGAAGCACTGGTGGAATTTCTCCTTGGGCGCAGTGTTGTGGCAAGACTGTGGGATTTGAATAGTGCCAGACTACAGGCTCTGCCACTTAACCACTATGCTGAGTTGGCCGAGTTTTTAAGATTCTCTGAGCCTTAGTTTCTGTATGTGTCAGAGAGGATATTAGCCTTTGGCCCGCAGGACTGTAGTAGGGGACAGGATTGCATTTTTACAGAGTGCTTCACACGTATCTGGTGATTAGTAAGTACTGTTCTGATTCATCTTGTTGGCAACCTTAGAGAAAGAGGAAGAATAAACCGCTTCCTCACTGCATGTAACCTTTCTGTACAGCCTCGTACACCTGCCAGAGGTTGTTCTTTTCTGCAGCACTGGCTCTACCTTCAGCGTGATCTGCAGCATTAGGCTCTGTGTTTTTGCCTTCATCTCAGCAGCCTTCTGTTCAGGAGGCTGCTCGCCACTGGAGGCAGAGTTCTTCCACATCGCTCTATATCGTTGCAGCAGCATCACCAACAAATAGGCTAGGATGTTCTTTGATTTCCGGGTTGGACTCAGAATAGAAAAAGAAGGAGGAGATTTCTTTGACATGCTGGAATCAATCTTCCTTCCTTCCTTCCTTCCTTCCTTCCTTCCTTCCTTCCTTCCTTCCTTCCTTCCTTCCTTCCTTTCTTTCTTTCTTTCTTTCTTTCTTTCTTTCTTTCTTTCTTTCTTTCTTTCTTTCTGCAGTACTGAAGACAAAACCCAGGACCTTGTACATACTAGGCAGGTATTTTGCCACTGGCATACAATCTCAGCCTTCCCATGTAGGAGGTATATAGTTCTCCTTCATTCCTCCCCTCTCTGTCTTCCCCTTCTTCCTTTCTCCCTGCCTTTCTCTTTCCTCTTTTCTGCCTCCTCTCTCTCTTTAATGTTTTCAACTCACTAATGTAGCCTAGGCTGGCTTGTGATCCTCATGACTCAGTTTCCCCAGTGCTGCGATTATAGGCACACATCACCATGCCCAGTCCCAAGTTTTTGTGTCTCTTCCCCAGTGGCCTTTGCTATGTCTTCAGATTTTTTCCTCTCTTTAGACATGGCTTGCACTTTGGTGACAAAGGCATAGGGTGTTTCTTTTTGCACTCCCCTTGGCAACTTCACATTATGACCCTTTGCCCTTGCTTCGTAGGGTTCTTTGTTTTCACTGAACCCACTCTTCCCTTGGATCACGGTCTCCCTGGAACTCAGTGTACTGCAGCGGCCACCATTCACAATGTCTTCTGACATCCAGCAATCAGTCATGGAGCTGAGAGTCTGGGCTCTAGACGGAGCCATGGGGGTTGGCCTGTGGAATTTTCTATGTTTTGTGGCAGCTGATAGGGGAGAGCCAGCCACTCTATGTTCAGTAGCTGGCATGAGCTACTCTGCTCCCTCAGCAGTTCCAGCATCCAAGACAGCAGAGTCTGGTCACCCACTACCCTCAAGAAACTGAAGAGGAAACCCAAGAAACAAATGTGCTACACTGGCAGGGGGGCCACCCTGGGAAATAGGGACTTTCCTCCAGAGCTTGCATAGTCACTGACTACCTCCACTGACTTTCAGAACGTTGTATAAGGGGCCATTGGATACCCACCAGTGTCCCTGCTACCCTCTTGCTGAGGTCCACAGTATGCAAGAGGTTAACCTCAGGTTTCTTCCTGGTTGCTTCTGATTCATTTTCCTGCCTCTGGCCGGATAGAGGTTTAGAGGTTTGGCTGGGCCCTTCTGCTCAGAACTCTGCCAGAGTTCCCGACCCTGCCTGTGCAATAGTAATGGCCGTAATGAAGGACATCTTACCCTCCAGCATGTACTCGGCTCCGACCTGCAGCCATGTCATTGGTTACACAACAGGAGATTGTTCATCCTCACAGGTAGAATGCCAGCTCTGCCACCTAGCTAGAAGAACAGCCAGGCCCTGATGGCCCAGTACAAGCCCAGAGGGTCATGCTTAACTCACCAAGTTATCTTAACTCTGGCACCTGGTACCTTAGCCTCACCCTGAGATTCTGATTGTGTTGATACGGGACAGGGCTTGAGTATCCAGATTTTGGAAACAACCCAGATGATTCTGCGTTAAGGCAGGATTGAGTGCCTCTTATCTGAAACATTGTCCACTACACAGACCACAACAGGAAGGCCTCTGCTGTCTCAGTTTTGCCAGGGGTGTGTGTGTTTGTGCCTACCAGGACCTTCACTCCCTCTGGTCTATCTTGACAGACCTCTTCCCTGGGAAGTCCACATCTTTGTTTTCCCTCCACTTCTAGTAAGAAGGACAGGTCTAATGCTTTGCACATAAACTGCTGCTTGGCTTGTCCGCTTTCCAGCCTACCAGCATCTAAATACCTCAGCACCCCAATGGAGCTGCCAGTTCTCTTTAGTTCTCTCTCCCCTAGACAGCAGGGATCAGTGGTCCTGGAGATAGAGTCCTCCTTGCAGACTTCTAGGGCCCTTGGAAAGAGCCCAACCAGCCTTTTTCCCAGGCTGGGCTGGACTGGGCTTGAGGTGTTGGGATGGTGGTAGCCGCCAGGCCTGAGGTTTGGCGGCTTTCTGTCCTGTTCCTATTAAACAGATATGCAGATAAATGCCTTTGTACACCAATAGCACAGGTTTTAGTAACAAGATTGAAACCCAGAGAAAATTTCCATGCACTCTTGAAAAGAATCTCAGAGTGGAAGGTTCACCCAGTAGTTGCTACCCTCCCACTTACTGTAGCCGCCTACACCCCAAAAGCAACTTTTCCCATGACTCACACATGGCAGCTTGTGCACTTCTTTTATTATTAAATATAAAAGCAGCTTCCTATTTTTTAAATAGATATTTAAATGACCTTATATAAAATAATTCACCACTTCCAAGTATAAAAAACGCAGTCTCACAGTTCGTGAGGCAATGTTCCCTCTGGACTTTCTCAGAGGAAAGAAGGGGTTCCTGTGCAGTGGAAGCTCCGAAGGTGAATTTGGGGCTCCTCCGGCTCCGATGTAACCAGGCACCCACAAAGAGCTTCTTGCAATGGGCTGGATTTGCTCTTTTGTCTTTAATAATATATGTTTAAGGTGGAGGGGTAAGAGAATGCCTTTTTTTTTTTTTTTTTTTTTTTTTCCTTCTCTGTGTTTTTCCTTCTATTTTAAAATACGTATTTTTCTAGCATGGAAATAGTCTGTAACTAGAAGGCTAAGTAAGCCTCACATAAAAGTCTCCAGTGTCCTTCCCTGCTGTCTCAGGACAGGGCTGGTGGAGCCTACAGACCAATCTCCCCCCCTCCCCACCAAGGCCTGAAAGATTATGGACCCAGTAGCCAGGGAGGGCAGGAAAGGGAGACACAGCAGCATAAAGAGACCAAGGGACAAGTGAGAGCCCTGTCACCCATGTTGCCACAGACAAGGCCTGGCCCAGGAAGTAGAGCAGAATTGGAAGTAAGACAACCCATTTCTTGACCTCTCTCTAGACCTGGCTTCCTTGGCTAGAGATGGCAAGGTTGGGTGGCAGCGACTGGAAGGGTATCACTACTTGGGTCAGATCTGGAGAAAAAAGGCCAGGAGAAGGTGGTGTTAGAGCCAAGCTTCTGGGGCTGGAGCATGTAGCTCAGTCCCGAGAGCTCATGACAGGACAACCTGCTCAGCTGAGGCTGCAGGCCACGGGGAAGGAGGTTAGCTGAGGTTACGGAGTATAGACATCATTCTCAACCTTAGGGGTACACACGTTTTCAAGACCCATTTTCATTCATGCCTGTGGCCTTGCTGCCTCTGCCTCCCCTCCCTTTCTCCCTTCCACTAGTCACTTCCCTCCTGGGAATGTCAAAGTGCAAGATGCAGAAACCTGGGCAAGGGACACAGCCTAAAGACCAGCTCTGACTGGCAGCCCAGGTAGTTCTCCCACAGCTCCACCCTGGATAATCGAAAGCTGGGGCAGGGGAAGGTCAGGGCTTAGGGGCTCCCTCAGTCGACATGTGAGGCCAGCTCAGTGCAGGAAGCTGAGGAGAGAGGTTGAGGTGGGAGAACATTCGGACGGATGGTCGCTTATGGGGGGGGGGTGGATGAGACAGGCTGTTCAGCAGGCAGGTTCAGTATTCACAGTGCAATGGCTTCCTTCATGAGGGGTGCCTCTGCTGGGCAAAAGAACTCTTGCAGGGGCTCTGGGCAGAAGGAGATGAGCTAGAGCTTGGTCCTTCTCTTGGCATCATGAGCCAGGTCAGACAGGTCCTGAGAGCAGGGCTGATCTCCCTCCTTCCTGGCTATCAGCAGAGGGCACTAGGCAAGTTGAGGGTGTAGACCCCTTTCAGCTGTCAGCACAAGCAGCCAAAGGCCTCCTCTTCCCATCTTTTGGGCTTTGTGCCTTTCTGCCTTTACGGGAAATTGGGCAGATACTGTCCCGCCCTTTGAATCTCAGGCTCTCCTCTTGGGAAACAGGTCCCTGCCTGTCCATGTTGGGATTCCTTGGCACCAGTTGGGTCTCCTGGGCACAGGGCTCTTCTCTTCCGTGTCATCTGCCCTGGTCTCCCATGGGTCACACAGGCTGGTGGGTCCCTCGCCAGCTTCTAGCTTTGAGAGGAGGGTACAGCTCTGACAGAAAGGGTCCTGAGCTGGCAAGCTGGCAAGCTAGCCTTCCTCGAATGCAGGGAGCCTCCAGGGCCCACAATAAATAGTGGCAGTACATGTGGGGGGCCATCCTCCAGCCCTCTCTCAGTTAGTTGAGAGTCTAAGGGTTAAGATGGAAAGACCCCATCAAAGCTGCTCTCATCCAGTCTTGGTAGCAGGAGCTCTGGTAGTGGCAGGCCACGTTCCCAGGAAGATGGTAGGAGAGGGTGGTGGTGGATGTTCCCATAATGCCTCCTTCCATAAAGAGATAGTCCTGTGTGCCCAGCTGTAGGGAAGAGAAGGGAAGAGGGCTGGTCAGTAAGTAGGAGTGTGGGGAGAGTCACTGAGGACATTACTGGTGGGGGGGTGGCATTCCTGTGGGCTGTTGGCCAGCTTCAGTTAAGTCTTCCTCTGGTCCTTTCCCTGGTCCTCCAGGCCACCCCAGACACCACAGAAAAACCAGGCAGCTTTGCCTGGCAGCAGTCCAAGCCTCGGGCCAGACTGGCCTCACCTCCCACCTCTCCTCCTGGGGGACCAGTAACCACAAAATGAGGGGATGGGACTGGAGGAGGTCTAGGCCAAGAGGTAGAGAGGGGATACTGCTCAAGTAGATGGAAGCAGGGACCACTCTCCTGAATGTCCCTACTAGGTCCCGTCTCAGATAAGTCCATTTCACTACTCCTACACCAGTGAACTAAGGTGATTTCTGCCAACTCTAGCAAAGAATTTTTCATATCCTCCTCCACAGTATTCCTCAAAGCGGGATCTGCGCAGAAGACACTTGGGAAAAAGCAACTGAATTGAAAGAACTTGGGCTTGATGGGTAGAGGCTAGAGGCAATGCCAGGAAAAAAAAAAAAACAGGCATGGTCACTCTGAGTAGCCCAGCCTCCCTTCAGATGGGATGAGGGACTTGCTTCTTATCATCCATGGGAGCTAGGGCCCTGCCCTCTCCCCACCCTACCCCCATCTTTGTCCCCTTGCCCAGCATCCTCGGAACTCTTTGTTCCACAGCAGAAATCCCCTGGACTCCATCCAACAGTTTGACTTTGGCCCTGTGTGGCGCCTCCCCACTGATGTCCACAGCCCCACTGGTCAAGCCTATGATGGGTAAGGAAGGAAGATGAGACCTACAGCCTCTGGCTCCCAGCCCATTCCCATGCTCTGGAGAGGAAACAAGAAGGAACTATAAACTGGATATGAGCCAATGCTGGTACAGCCAGGCCACAGGCTCTGCCAGGACCTACTGGGGAAGAAGGCCCCAGAGGGCATGCTTTAGCCCATGACCCAGCTCTCAGCTTCCTGAGGTTGGGGCCTGAGTTTTCTGCAGCTTAATGTCCTTCCCTTAGTGTTCCACCTTAATGTCCCATTTCTGTTTGTCCCATTCATCTCCTCATCAAAGTTCTAGTCACTCTGGACAGGTTTTCATAGACTGAGCTCCCATCTGCTCCAGGAGCCTGGCATGGGGACCAATTTAGAGCTGGACAAACTGAGCAAAATCTTGAAATTGTGAGGCGAGAAACTTGAAATCTTGGGTAGGTCTGAGAGTTAGGAGGTAGGAAAAGGACAATTGGGGACAGAGAGGTCAGGGCAGAGGGCAAGGTCATACAGGTGGCAGGGAGGAGGAAATCTGGTGGCTCTTGGTAAGGTGGCACAGTACTGAGCCCCAAAGTCCCCAGCAACCCTCACCCTCTGATTCAGTTCTGAGGGACTATGGGTCCTTCCTACAACTTTTCCAATGAGCCAGCTACTTCATTTCATCCATCTCCACCCATCCTACTGGCAAGTAGGACCCCAGGATTCTGGATATGGGTTGCTGCTTGGTTTTATCCAAATAAATTTCCTTGGCTGTGAGCATGTCAGATTTCCTGTCTGGAGAAGGGGCCCAGACATTATCTTATTCATAGGACACTTTGCTTACATGTGGCAAGGGGTATAACTGGAAATTTGAAATGGTCATACAACTAGTGTGCTGTCCAGTCAGTCAGCAAATCACTAAGTAAGCACTCTGCCAGCTAATTAGCCAGTCAGCTCATCAATCAAGAACTAGTCAATTAAGTAGACACCAGCTAGTTTGAGTGGTCAGTCAGCCAACCAGCTGGCAAGATGAGTTGGTTAGTTAGCTGGTTAATTGGTCAACCAGAAGGCTGGTCAGTTAGAGAAATCTGGCCAGGGTTAGTTGGTAACTCAGACCTGAAACCAGCTACCAACATTTGTTAAATTTTTGACAAGGATGGAGGAGCCCTGTCTGTACTAGAATCCAGGATGGAAAATAAAGTGCAGGGGGTGGGGGAGAGGAAGCTAGTTCCTGCCCTCTAGGGGCTTACAATCTTCTTAGTAGTGCAAAATTTACATATACACACAAAATATGATTTTTAAATATATAAAACATCCAAATGTGAGCAGCTTGATATATAGCATTAGCCATATACAAAAGGGCAGAAGGGGTATGAACTAAAAGAGCAACCAGAGGGATGTGGAAACTCCAGGAAGGGAAGGCTTCTCCATAGGCCGGTGTGGGCTAGGTTCAGAGAGGAATAATACAGGTTGAATCTTCATCGGGATTATGGGCACGGACAACAAAAGATACTCATCAGTGTGCAGGGGACACAACAGGGAATTATGAAGTGACCAAACTAAAAGTTAAAACACTTTCAGTAGGCTCAAGGCATGGGCAGAAAACAACAAGCAATTTTAACAAAGGTGACCATAAACTACGCTTTGGCTAAGAAGGTCCAGGTATGGGATGGCGAAGGTCTGCTGAACAGAGGCTCACAGGAAATATAACTGGGGTTTTTAATAAACCACAGGCTCAACATATGACGATATATGACGCAGCTGGTAAAACTAACATGATCTTAGTCTGCACGAGTAGAAGAGTAGGTCAAGGAAGGCAACAGTCCCACTGTACTCTGAGCTGGTCAGACAACATCTGGAGTACCGTGTCCAGGGCGGGGTGCCACATTTTCAGAGGGACACTGACAAACCAGTGTGTCCAGGATGGTGAGGGGTCTGAAAACCATATCATATAAGGAATGTTTGAGGGGATTGGCCACACTTAACATAGAGAATTCTTAAAGGGGACATGAATAGCTCGCTTTAAATACCAGGCCTTGTGAGAAGTCCTTTCGAGGACTGCTCGGGGAAGTGGAGAAGGGAAGGCAGTCTTGCCCCCATAAGTAAGGAGTTTCCCCACTTTTGTGTGTACCTGAACAGACTGGCATGCAGGGAACTCCCCTGGAACTGGGACTGTGTGACAGGAAGCTGGCTGCCTCCCTGTTGGGGATGCAGAGTAGCCCTTTTAGGTTGGGACGCTGGGCCAACTGACCTCTTGACAGCTCTCCCAAGACTAAATTTCGATGGCACCATGATTCTAAAACAGGGAGGAGGCAATAACCTTGGCTGGGAAGCAGGACCAGATGAGGCCCAGTCTGGCAAGAAGGGGATGCTGAGGAGGTCAGGGCCCAGCACCAAGCTGGGAATGCTAGTGTTTGAAGAGGCTGGCGGCCGTGCAGAAGCTAATGAAAGACCTGGTAAAAGCCTCATTAGAGGATGAGGAATGTGGTTGCTCTGGGATTGAATGTAGCAACAGCAAGAATAGAAACACAGTGCAGAGGTGGGGGAGGGGGTGCAGGAGCAAAGGGAGACCCGGAGCCTGGAAGAAAGGGTCCTAGCTAGACCTGATGATGAATGAATGGGATTGGGAGTGGGTCAGAGGAGAAGTCAAATGTGTTGGGCCTTCTGGGAGTTGGGTGGCTTCTACCACAGGGGAGAGCGGCTGGAGATCGTTCTTTTTAAGGGATAGAGAGATATCAAAGTCAGAACCATACCTTAGAATGCTTTCTACACTGGCAGCTCCACCTGTCTGTCCTCATCCTGGGTCAGGGGGCTGCAGGCAGAACACAGGGTTGACATAAGACTTGAGCAGGAGTATGGGACTGAGGGGACCTCCTAGCTTATCCCCAACCCTGCAAATGGGTTTCATCTCTGTGACATTAAGAAGACCCAGAACTGCCCAGCTCTAGGCAGAAATCAGGAGAAAGCCCAGCTGTCATGGAAAGAAGAGAGGCCCTTCTTTCTTTGTACCAACCTGCTCTGCAGCTCTATTGTCTTAGGGCAAGGGGGAGCCACCCCTCTTCCAATCTAGAGGGCAAACAGGTCCCAAGACAGACAGCCGGTGCCTTCCACAGCCCCACTCTACTGCTCACCTGCCCTCTGGTCGCCCCACAGAAGAATCCAATGTCTGAGGCTCTCGGTGACTCTGGGGATAAGAAAGAGTTGTCTTACTGAAATGCTGACAAGCCCCCAGGCATTACTGAGAGAATTTCAAGAATTCTTCCTACTACCCCAAAGCATGAACAACTGAGGGAGCTTCCTGGGCCTCTTGAGGATGGGTGCTCCTCTTCCTGTTCCTTCTCATACAGAACATCGCCTATGGATCCTCAAGATCCCAGAATAGCCCTCCTCTCCTCTTCCTTTCCTCTCCTCTTCCTTTCCTCTCCTCTTCTTTCCCTTTCTCACTTGGTTGTTCAAGAGTTCTCTTTTCTGCACCATTCTGTTCTCATCCCTTTTCAATGATCTTGAGGCTGGAGACCTCTTGATTTTGTTTGTATTTATTTATTTACTTTTGAGACAGGAACTCTCCATATAGACCTGGATAGCCTAGAACTCACTATGTAAACCAGTAGATCAGGCTGACCTTACACACACAGAGATGTGGCCAGCTCTGCCCCTGGATTGCCATGGTTAAATGCACATGCCACCACCATATCTGGCACCTTCTGATTCTCATAGCCACACTACAGTACCACTTTCTACCCTCTGGGCTGTCATTCCCACCTTCCAGCAACTGTAGAACATGTTGGAAGCTGGTTGTCCTCTAGCCTGCACCTCTACCCAGTCTTTGCCTTGACCCATAGGATGCCCTCCTCTCCTGGGGTTCTCCTTACCCTCCGCTTCCACCTGTAGAACAGGAGGCCCCCGACAGCCAGCAAGACTAGGATGATGCCCGGCACCAGTAGGTGGAAGACAGACTCGGGGATCTGGGGGTCAGAGGGTAGATGCTGTTCCACATGGCCTGTGTCTGGCAAAGGAATGAAGTTAAAATGGGCCACAGGTCTGGCTGCCCCCTCTCTTGCTGGTCTTCCTTCTAGCTCTGCGGGGCTCCTTCGATCCCTGGTACTTCTCTTGCCCGCAAGCCCCCTAAGGGGCAGCACACTGCCCCAAGAGTGGCTTCTGGGAAGCGGCAACTGAGCGGAAGGGGTGGCTGGGTTGCTGAGGCCTGGGGGACTCAATGTCACAATGTGGGGAGAGCCTGGCTCCTGGTGGTCTCCAGGCAGCATAGATGAACCATCCATCTTCGTCTTCTCAGGAGGATGATTCAGTGCCTGGCCTGTGGGTCTCATAGGGTTCACCTCTGCCAGTGGGGTATCTGTTACATCCGATGGCTGTTGGTCCTCTGTTGATTTAGGGAATGGAGAAGGTGCTGAGAGGCCACTGGGTCTGCCAGTCTCTGCCTGGGTGCTGCCTCCTACAGGCTTGGAGAGGGAAAGCTTTGCTTCCTGGGTCAAAAACCCCTCACTAGCCTCTCCAGAACCTTCTTCTAGGACCCAGTTAGTGCCCAGTGAAGATTCAAGACTGGCTTCCACCCCAGAGCTGGGGACCCCTGCAGAAAGATGAGGCTGTGAGCCCTCAGTGAGTCCATCCTCTTGGTTTGGGGTCTTTGCTGACTCGAGGCTCTGGCAGGTGCTCCTGGGTGGTCGCTGCTTGGCACTGCCTGGGTCCTCCGTGCGAAGGGGCTGCTCACTGGGTAAAAGGGAGTTGCCCTCTGTCCTCTGAGAGTCCTCCCAAGCCAAGCCAGCCAGAGGGGCCATGGAGGGGGCAGGGAGCTGGTGAGGGGAGGCAGAGGCCAGGTCACTGCTAGGGGTGGCTTTAGGGTACAGGCAGTTGCAATCAGGCTTGGTCACCACATCTGAAAGAACCACAGAGAGGGGGAGAGAGAAAGATGGGAGGAGATAGAGTCACCAGCCTCCAGCACAGCTCCCCCAGAGGGGCTAAGAGGGAGACACAGCCCTGGGGCACGGGAAGGGGTCTCTCTTCTGATAATGCAGCCCTAGGACTGGGGGAGGGGAGGGGAGGACAGTATTAAATGCTCGTGACACAGAACTCAGGCAGGGTGTCATTGGACAAGAAACCAAAAGGAAGGAACAGACAAATAGAACAGGACTTGGGGTGAGAAAGACAACAGGACAATGTATTGGGGCTCTAGCTGGCCAGATACCAAGCCAGAGGTAAGCAGCTGCCAGGCCAGAGGTTGAGCAATAAACAGTTCCTGGACTAACACAAGACACTCGGAAGCCCCCAAGATACCAGTTGCATGCACAGCCAGGAGCCGGACCACCACAGTCACAGCCACAGGCAGGAGAAGGCTGGGAGTGGGAAGCAGCCAAAGTTTGGGACTTCAGGATTGAAGCACTAAGGCTGAATTTGGCTATAGTCCGGTTGCAGGACCCCAGCTCCTGCCTTGGGGAGTGAGGCTGAACGTAGGACACACGTGGCACAGGATGCAGAGACGAGAACACGCAGAGTGAGCAGGTAGAGAGAGTTTGACTGATGTTCAGACTTCAGGTTCAGCCTTGTCCCTTGAGGGGACATCCAAGGCATCCGGGGGACTTCTGGAGCCAGGTTATCCTGGTGCTTTGCAGCAGGGCTCCTGGAGCAATAGCCTGAGTGCCAGACGGAGCACCTGCTCATTCCATGAAATCCCCATTCATTCAGCCAGTCTGCAGAGCCGAGTAGGGAAAGCCACCATGCCTACATGGTTTTCTGAGAAAGGTCCCCTTTCCCACTCACTACCATCACAGTGACCAGCATGGGCCTCCTTGATGCTGTCACTTGAAGTAAGGCAGTGAGACAGTACATGCAGGCATAAGTCAGTGTACATGCACACACATGTCAGCAAAGACATGTGCCCAGGACCCTGAGGTACATGAAGCCACGTGAGTACACAAAAAACACAGAAACACACTTAGCAGCCAGGCTGCCTCTGGGATTACCCTCGCCTCATAGCTCACCTTGCCACTGACTACACCCTCCCTACAGCTGGCCCCTTCCATGCTTACCTTGGCTGGAGCACTTAGCAAAGCTGTTGTTGCAGTTCTTGCTAAAAACATTCCAGTCCTTTTCAAGGAGCTTCTTTGTTTCATTAAAGACGTTCTTGATCTTCTCCAGCAGCTGGAGAGGAGTCTCATGGAAAGTTCGGACACAGGACTGGAAAGAGAGTGGAGCCCCCTTTGGTAAGTGTGAACATGAGCCTCCTCTCACTATTATTCCCTCTGTCAGATTCTCTTGGGCTTTCTCACATGGGTTTTCTTTGCCATTTTGTTTTCCTCCCTCACATTTCCTCTGCTGTGCAGCAGCGTCAGTCCTGAGGTTGAGAGATATGCCATTCATTCACAGATACATCTAATATATCTTTAAGTGCCAGGTGTATGGTAATTTGCCTGGGCATCGTGTAATGAACAAAAGAGAATGGTTCCTGACACATTGTTACAGGACCCAAGAGAGTCCTGGACCATCTGAAGGGCACTAAATAAGGGCCCAGGGAGATCTCCAAAGGAACAGCTAAAAGATCATCAAGGGAAGGGAAGGAGGTGGGGTGGGAAAGACAAAACATGCAAGGCCCCTGAGGAGGGGAGAACATGAAATGCCAAAAGACTGGAAGAAGGCTGGAGTGGCTGCAGTCCTGCCATCTAGGAGCAAAGCAGCAAAAGATGCAGCTGGAAAGAGCTCTGCCAAAGCCAGGAATTTGTTGACCCTGCCAGAAACTTGTAATTTTATCCACAGAGCCAATGGGAAACTGAAAAACTACTGGGGAGGTGGACCATTGAATAAAACTTAAATTTCAGAAAAATCATTTTGGTATGACGTAGAAAACAAAGCTGAGGAGGCCAGAGGAGATGAAGTTGAGTGTTGGAGGAAGCGCTGAGGATGCCCTGGCCCGACTGCTGAGTGGTTTCTCTCTTCTGCATTTGGCCCAGGGGCTCACACCCACACCCACCGCAGCTCTGAGAAGCCACCCCCTCAGGGGTTCTTCCCACCTCACCAGCTTGCTCCCTTAGGCTCTGCGATAAGACTGTTCCTTCTAAATACTGTGCTTGGCCCAGTGTTTTTTCTGTTCTGGGCCCACCTTACCTTTCACAGCAAGCTGTTGTATGTATGATTACAGTATCATCTATCGCCTATTTCCAGAATGCCAAGCTTTCCCTTAAACTTTCTGAGTTATTCAGGGGAGAACAAGAGGTTTTCCAAGGCTTCTGTAAAGACCTCGATTACATCACTGCATCTCCCCAGCCTGCCCATAACAGACTTATAACAAACAGGTACTAGACAAGTAAATGAATGAAAAGACCTGGGCTTGGCTTCATCTCAGCAACCAAGTGAGAACAGACAAATGGATTCCTCTCCTTGTCTGTGATGTCAGAACAACAGCCTCTCCCAGGAGCTGTTAAGGGAGGCCAGCTGGCTCTGTCCTGCCTGTGTTTCCCTCAAAGCTAAACTTACATGCGGTTATATCCTCACCTTCATCCTGACACCCAAGCTTTCTCAATATGGAGGTGCCCTCTGGGTCAGGGGCTCAGAATCCTTTTCTGAGCAGTGTGGCTGGACTTGGCTCCTTGCTCTTACACTCTGCCTTTCCCCTGAGTATGCAGAGTGAATACTCAAAGGAGTCTGAGGACCTTCTACCTCAACCATTGGTGGAGCAGCTCTTCAAGATGCAAATTCCCAGGCTTACCCATGGGCTCAGGAAAGTCCCTAACGGTGTATGCTGGGACTCTGCATTTTGAATAAGCTCTCCCGGTGATTTGCTGGCACTTTAATGTTGGGGAAGCTTTGATTTACTACTGCATGGTAAAGAGCCATCCCTTCCTCAAACACACAGCCACTCCAGATAATCTGGCTTTCTGTCCCCTTTTGTATCTAAGTTTCAAATGAAGTGTGGTCTTTATTTCCTCTCTTTCTTTTATCCCTGCTCTCCCTCCAACAACAATCGCTATGCTGCCAAGTCAAATGGACCAATGGACACGTTCACCCCTTATCTTATTTGACTTCTCAGCCTCATTTGATGAAAGCTACTGGCCCTTTTCATCCAGAAACCCTGAGGTGCTACCCTCTCTTGGTTTTCCTCTTACTTCAGGCCACTCTTCATTCTGGGTCCTTGAACCCATTTTTCTTCTCACAGTGGACAGGGCTGCACAGTTCTGTGGCCCCACAAGCAGCATCCATGTATCCAGCAGTCACAATCATGACCCGCTCCTGCAACTGTCTGAGGTGCCCCAACACTAAACTGAGTTCTTCCCCCAAACCTAGGCCGCCTGTGGTCATCCTTATTTTGACATCAGTGAGATCTCCAGGCCTCAAGATGAAAGCTTCCTTTCATCTTGACCCACCCTTTCCCTTTCTTTCTTTTTTCTTTTTTTAAATTTACCTAGTCTTTTCTTTTTCCCTAAGATTTATCCATATATTTTATATATATGAGTGCTTTGTCTTCATGCTCAGTAGAAGGAATGAGATCCCATTATAGATGGTTGTGAGCCACCATGTGGTTGCTGGGAATTGAACTCAAGATCCCTGCAAGAGTACTTAAGTGCTTTTAACCGCTGAACCATCTCTCCAGCCCCCCTTTCCCTTTCTATATCCAGGCATCATCAAGCCCCATCTGTCTGGCCAGATCACATCTCCTCACCTTTGTTTTTCCTGCACCACTCTTATTCAAGCCACCACCATCTCCACTCCTGTTCTTCTTAACCTACCTTCCAGTCCACCACCGGAATGGTCTTACACTGTACATGACATCATGTCATTCACTAGCCTGTGGCAGCTTCTTTTGCATTTAAGACAAAAAGCCCACATCTTTGACACCCTGAATTGTGTGTGCTTCCTGACTTTTCTTCCTTCCCCTCCACTTCCCATGACTGACCCCCTTTGGCTTCCTGAATGCAAAGCTTTCTGGTCGCCCTCACGCTTGAACATAGCACTCCTCACTCTGGGATGTTTTGTTTTTGTTTTTGTTTTTTGTTTTTTGTTTTTTTTCATCGTGGCTCTTACTGCTCTTACTCATGCTGGAGCTCCAGTTCAAGTTTCCTTATAACCTGCCTTTAAACGTTGTTTCTCCCCCTCTGCACCCTCACTAAGTTAGCATTCCCTATTGCATCCTCAGTGTCTCAGGTTCTTGCTCCTCTCGCTGAGGCCTCCCCTACCATCTGCACTTACTCAATGCTATTGTTACCAGCATCCATTCACTTACTTGTTTATTTTAACTGCCTCAGCACCCTCCTCTCCCCTATGTCTTCAGGACTGTGGGGATTTTTGCCGTTTTGATCACAGCTATTTCCTGATGTCCATTTTTGATTAAAGCTATTTCCTGGTGTTCAGAACAGCACTTGATACACAGTGGTCACTCAGGAAGGTTTTGCTAAATGGATGAACAGTCCTTCTGATTATATGTACAGGTGTCATCATTTAACAGCTGCCTACCCCACTTGACTCTAAGCTCTGTAAGGGAGGGGACCGGGAATTTCTCGCTCCAAGGATATCATCAGGGTCCAGCGCTGTGCCTTCTATCTAACGAATGCTTGGTGAAGGTGGATGAAGTAAAGAAATGAATGGGTGAGTGAGGAAGTGAGTGAGGTTCAGGCAAGGCAAGCATAGGAGGGCAGGGTGGGACCCCCCCCACTCCCACACCCCCATACCCCCTCCTTGATGCTCTAGCCCCAGAACCACCATACCTTGTTCTGCTCTTCATAGTCCTTAGTGAAGCAGCTCTTCAGTCTCAGAGAGAGTTCCTGGAGCCTCTCAGCGGCATTGGCATTGGGGGTGTTGTCTTTAAATCTCATGGTGTACTCCATTATGTCTTGTACCAAAAAAAATGCCTTCTTAAGGTAGCAAACAGGATCATCCTGGAACACAGGAACCAGGAGCTTAGGACCTGGCCAAGGTGGCCTGGGAACCCAGGCTTTATATGATATTTCTGCACCCTAGACAGATAGAGGCACCCTGCAGCCTGCCATCCTGTATTCTTGAGGAGAAGACACGCCATCCTGGTGATGAGGATAATGATACTCTTGGGTTGTCTTTTATTCTCTTTCTTTAAAGAAACCACAACTGAGAGTGAATGAAATGTGGATTGTGGTTAGAGAGAGCTTTGAATTTCTGAAATGAGGCTTTAGCAAGGTGGATACACACAGGAAGAGTGGGTTTCAGCCTCTCCACCTCTTCTTTCCTTTCAGCTTATTTCTACAAAGGTCCTTTGCCATATAGCCCCTTCAAATCCTCCAGAACATGGAGATACGGAGGGCTACTTCATTGTCAGAAGTGTAGCCTTAGGTTTTATTGCCAAGGATAAGGACAGAAACGACTTTTATCTCTGTATCTCTAGTGCCCGATCCAGTAAATAGGTGCCATGGTCCAAGTGAAGGAGTAAGAGAAAGAATGGGCGAAACCACATGGCTCTGCAGGCCGTGGCATTTTCACAGAGGTGTATGGGTCTGGTGCATGAGACTCACAGACAGAAGCAATTCTTGTTCCTCACGAGGCACAGAGATTGAGAGGTGTGGCACAGGGGTCAGTGGGACAGGGAAAGGTGTGAGGGACATCACAAAGAGCTAATGCAAAAGCTGGGAAGCAGAATACAGCAAGGAAGGGAAAAGAGAGCAGAGTGGGAGTGGGCACTGGAGACTTGGAACTAGACTGCCTGTGCTTTCTCCTCGAGCCGTGGGCTTCCTGACAGGTAGGCAGAAGTGAGTGAAGGCTTTGGGGTTTCAGAGCACTCCCCCTAGTGGTAAGATGCAGGGTGCCTAGAATCAGGGAAGTCGGTTAGGGGAGGACAGTACCCTACGGTGCAGGGAGGTAGTATTGGGTGCATTAGATGGCTGGTCAGTTAGGTGGGGGTGGAAAGCCAGGCTAGACTGCCTTTCTGTCTCTGGCTAGTGGAAGGAAGAGCTGTGATCTTCTAAAATAAAACAAACCAAACCAACCAGCCAAACACACAAACCCATGGGATGACATTCCTGGGTTCAAATTAGGCCTCTATCACTTAACTAGCTATGCTCCTTATTCTCTTTGTGGACAATAAGCAATATTTGTTGACTTCATAGTGGTACTGCTAGGATTTACTGGGGAACGTGCCTAATATTTAGCACGTGCCTGGTTTATACCAGGTCAAAGGAAAGAGCAAATGATTTAAGCTCTGGACCCTACCATTCCTACAAGCTGGTACTTGACACTTGAGTACCACCTGGGGACCGTCACATACTCATTCAGGCCTGCTCTAGGTTTTCTGCTGCCTTCATGCTGTTCCATGCACCACCCTGAGTAGGCTGTGAGTACTCACTGAAGCACCTGGGGCCTTTCAGCTACTTGCTACTTACCAGCTGTTCCTGGTCTACAAACTCAAAGGCAATCTGGCATGAGGTCTCCATTTGACTGTCAATCTGTAAGAAAGAACAGACCAATGGTTACATGGTACCTACAGGGCAACTCAGCTTCAGGATGGGAACACTGGTTTTGGGGTGAATGATGTTCTAACTTTATCTACCTTCATAAAACAGTGCCAGGATGACAGAGCCACAGCTGGGGGGGGGGGGGAAGCTGTACCTTCCCAGAGGACTTTAAAAAAACAAAAAGCCTTCTACTTTGACCTATGGAATTTCACATCCAGTCTGTATAAGAAAGACTTATCTTTAAGAAACTATAGAATGTAATCTTTTTGAGGAGGGGGGTTGGTAAGCACCCTATCATGAAAAGAATTCAAGGAGAAGCCGGCCAAACTCTGGGGAGTCTGGATCTCTAGCCCCTATCCCTGGATCAAGGTTCTAAACCTCAGGGAACACCATGGCACTCATGTACCTTGGCCTGCCACAGAAACAGCATACAAATAGAGTGGTGTTGAGAAGCTAGATTGGGAGGTTCAGCTCCAGGGCCCAACTTCAGGTCTCTGGAGCTGACCTCACCCACTAGTGCTCTGCCCTGCTGAGCTTGTTGGAAGATGATGCATTCTTTACTGAGAGAAGCAGAAGCCATGACAACTGGCTCCTGCCTGGCTACATGGCACTTAGAATTGTTGATGGTTTTGTTGACCTATTAGAATGAGATCTGGTTTCATCTAGGTGTCTTCCTGTCCCAGATGAACAGGGTACCCCAACCTCAGGGGTAAGGGTCAGGGAAGTAAAGGCAGAAGGCTGGGAGTTAGGCTGGAGCCTCCCATCTAAATATGGGTGCGGCCCTGGTGCCAGGCTGTCAGGGGATCTTGGCTATCCAGGAGCTGGATGAACCATCTGGACCCAGCAGGCAGACCGGGCTGACTTCCCAAAGGAGGGATTCTCTGAGTCAGAGCAGGGTCAAGGAGCCATTTAGAACCCATAGCGGACATTCCCGGGCTGCCATTAACTCAGGCCAGCAGCCAGTTTAAAACCCATCCTACTCATTGCCCATAAGGGACCCAGACAAGGCTTTAGGGGTGGGAGGACCTAAAGTTACCACCTTGAGCAGGTCAATGAGAGCAGTATCAGGATGGCTATTATCCAGATAGGCTCTATTTCCCGGAAGCCATCTCTTTGACTCTGCTTTCCAGCTGCTGCCTCGGTGGGGAAGGCATGGTCTTCTTCTCAGTGAGGGGAAGGCATGGTCTCATACTCACCAGCTGCTGCAGGATCTGCAGGTGTCCGTTCCCAATCATGTGGCTACAGTGTTCCGACACCTCCTTGGCAATACTCCTGCTCACCAGGAGACAGACGAGCAGCAGCCGGGGGCCCAGCCATGTCTATGACAGAAGGGAGTCATGTCTCTCCAGAGCTTCCTCTCCCCCGCTACCCCCATGTCCCACTAAGGACAAAAAAAAAAAAAGCCCCCATTCCCATAACGCACCACTCCCCAGAACAGATTCTCTCATCAGCCAGGGCACCACCTCACTCTTCCCTTGGTAATAACTCAAATGCCATCTTCTCCAAGAAGTCTTTCTAGGTTAATCCAGGCCAGCCCAACAACAGAGAGAACTTTCCTTAAAAGGCAATCTAAAGAGGCTTACTTATTTTTGTTTTGTATTTATGAATATTTTGCATGCATGCACACTATGTGCATGATTCTTGGAATCCTCTGGGACTGTGGTTGTGAACCACCATGTGGGTGCGGGGATTTGAACCTGGGTCTACTGCAAGGGCAACAGATGTTCTTAAATGCTGAGCCATCTCTCCAGCTTACAGAGAACATCTAGTGAAAATACTAGTTGTGTGCCAACCAGTGTTAGTTTTAGTGACTGAGGAATTCAAGGGTAGGATTTCTGTCCTTTCAACTTTAATTATGAGACAAATATGAAGTCACCTTGTAAGGTTTGTGGTCAGACAGTAGCTTTCAGATTACAAGCCAGGAACACTCATTGCCCCTGGCTCCCACCTTCCCTCCTACCTAGTTCCACAGATCTGGCTCTATAGGGTGAAACTATAGACTAGGACCAAACAATGGGAACTCAACCAAAGTGGGAGACCTTCTGGAGCTTGAACTTGGATTTTGAGAAGAGTCCAACTGACTAATCAAAGACAATGGTGTGTTTCAACGGCTGTCATTTGTCCATCTGAGACCCATCCAGCTGTTCTCCTAGGCAGCAAACTTAGTACAACAAGGAAATTCTCTCTCCCTTTCATCAACATCCACCTGGCCCAGTAGCTGCTCATCTCTAGAGTAACAGATTTGGCTTCTGACAACTGACTTGGTCTTTCCTTTCTTCTTTCTTCCTGCCTCCTCCTCCCCAAGATGCTCTCAACCCTGCAAGCGCTAATAGAGCAACCCAGGAGAAGCCAGCCTGGGGCAGAGGGGATCTTGGGCTTCCTTTCCCTGGCCTGAAGCTGCTAACATGAGCACCCTGGCAGCTAATGTCCCCCAATTCAGGGAAAGGCTGGCAGGGTGGAGTGATGGCTGGCACCTTCCTGGATCTGGGCTCTCCCCCAATAGTCCAGATGATGAGACAAATGCTGTAAATAGGAGCGCATTGGAAAAACACAAGGAGACTAACTATGAAACCGTCCATAACAACACTGGTTTACATCTAAAAGCCCCAAACCTTGCCAGGGCGTACCAGGGAGGAAAGGCAGCATTGGCCGGGCAACAGGGAGGGAAGGGAGTCTGCAGTGAGGTCTGAAGGGTGGCAGATGGTGATGGGGGTTGCGAGAAGAGGTGAAGGGTTGCCCAGTTCTGTCAAGCACAGGGCTGTTAGGAGCCTGGCCTGACCCCAGAGGGAAAGTGCGGAAGAAGGTGCAGGCAGCCATGGGATGACAGTGCACCGCTGGGCAATTGGAAAGCCCTCCCTGAGTAGGAATGGTAGCCTAGACATCCAGAACCTCGGGCTCAGGGCCTGCTCAAGGAAATGACTGCGCAGAAGGTAACTCTGGCCTAGGCCGGCTGTCACTCATGCTGTCAGCCCATGGTGTATACGGTATAAGGACCACAACTGAGAAGACCTCAGTTCTAGAACTTCAGGGCGTTGGTATTTGAAGGTAGCGAGGTGAAGACACTGCTTCAGGGCTACCTGGGTTTGGGTGACACTTCAAGCATGTGTAGGAATTCTGCACAGCCTCTATATAAGAGACTGGCTTCAAAGATGACCAAAGGGGGCCACTCCTGAATCTGTAACCCCAGTGCTACCATAGACAAGGGTACAGATGGCAGCCTAAGGGTTAATACTCCTAGCTTACATCTGGCTGGACAGGCTCTTTCCCGCTTGCTTCTTTCTCCCACCCACTGCTCCAGCCTCTGACGATGGGAGCAGCCCTGGAAGGAAGCTGCTTCGGTCTCAGAGCACTTCAAGACATCATATTCCCTTTCTCAGGTCTCTGCAGAGACCTTGCCTGACTGGACCCGCCGACTGATCTTGTCTAATTCTGGCTTCCTTTCCGTCCTCTTGTTTTCCCTTCTAGTTCCTTCTTTTCACTTGTTGCTTATCGTATAATTCTTCTTCTCCCTTCTCCCCCCCCCCAACCCATCTCCTGCCTCTCAGCTGGGCCCTCCCTCCCTGTGAATCTCCTTTTCTCTCCTCCCAAACACCTGCAACCCTCTCCTCCCATCACATGTTTTTCTGTCCCTGCCCTCTGAGTTTTTTTTTTTTTTTTTACTTTCATTCTCCTCAGAAGCAAACTGTTCATTGAAAGTGCCACCCTGCACCCCGTAGGCGCCACAGCATCGTCTGTCACTATTGGAGACACTTCTGAGCAGCCCATCACCAGCTCTGCAGCTATGAACTCTCACTGCACTTTCCCCAGCAGCGGCAGAGCCCAGAATAGCCCCATCTCATTGAACCACATTCTTCAAGAATTAAGACTCAGGTTCCCTTGCCCTCCAACAGCCACCCAAGTCCCTAACAGCTCCTGCGCATCCACTGGCTGGAGCAAGTAGCAACATGCCCATCTCCGCCGCTTCTGTCAACAGGTTGCTCAGCACTGGTCCTGGCACAAAGCTGAGTGACCCTGAATTTTCCCTCCCGAGAAGGCCCACTGCCAGCTGAGGCCTACAAACATGTGCAAGAGCCCAAAGAAGATGCTAGGAGGGATGATGCTGCGCTCGGGTCTCTGCCACTCGGAACCTGGAGACCGGTTGCTCATCCTGGCGCACACTGTGCCTGTGCCAATTGCTGTGAACCTCTCTCTCTCCTGCCTGTGGGCGGCTCAGTGTTCTCCTCCGTGCAATGGGGTGAGCAGCTTTCCCTGTACCCTGCAAAGCGCAGTAGTCCCCCCGAGCAGCTGCTGAAGTGCGGCGGGCCTCAGCCCTAGTGTACGTAGAAGCCGTTAGGAAGCCGGAGCCCAGGGCCGGGAAGCCTGGGCTGCTGGTGTGAGAGGGTTGTCCGCGCCGAGCCGCCTGCTGCTTGCTGCCATGCTCCCGCCCCAGCCCGGCCCGGGCCCCGCGCCGCGCCGCGGTCGCAGCTTACCGATGAAGGGCAGCGCCCCGCGGCGCCCCGCGCGGTCATACGGGCAACTGGGTCCCGGCCCGGCGTGCTGGCCGCCCTGGTTCGCTCGCTCCCTCGCTCGCTGGTGGCTGGTGAGCCCGCGCCCCGGCCGAGGGCCACGCCGCTGTCCTGGGATGCAGAGAGCTGCAGCTACACCGGGAGCACCGAGGCAAACTTTCACTTTCCCCTGGCCGAGCTTCGCTGGCCAGCCCTCGGCACAGCCTTTTAAGCGGGCGGGCTGGCGCGGCATGTGGTTTATGGGAAATCACCCTGGCCCTCCGCCAGACACACACACACACACGCACACACAGACACACGCACACACAAACACGCGCACACTCACAGACACTGACACATACTACACCCCAGAGGCCCACTGAGCCGCTGCCTCCCTTCCCCCAAGCGGGCCGCCTGGTCGTCCCTGCTAGCTAGCTCTCTTCTCTCTTCCAGTCGCGCTGTGGCTGTGCTAGCTTCGCAGGATTTAGCAAAGTAACCAGGGCTCCACCGCCCTCCCCCTCCCTTCTTGAGCTCTGGACAAGACACAGCCTTTCCTTCTGTACTCGCTCACTGTGTCAATCCCGTGTGATTGCCCTCTGTCGAATGCTGGTCCCTAGGGACTTTCCCTCTAGGCCCGAAAAAATCCTCAGATCTGAGCAGGAAACAAACGGACAGACTTGAATAGGCATGAGCCAGCACTGGAATCCTGAGGTCTCTCCTGCAGCTCCATTCAACCCCCTCATGGAGCCCAGGGCGTCAAGTCTGCAGGTTGGCTTGCTCCTTCCTATGCAACATTCAAGGAATCGGCTAAACAACCTGTCCCCTGGCTGTGGGGAGCAGTGGGGAGCAATCCAGCTCCCTGGCCAGGAGAGGCGGGACCTAGCCCTGTGTCTGTACTCTGTGCCAGCAGGCACTTCAGGTGCTTGACCCGTGCATGATACCAAGGCTGGCTGATCCCCTGCTCCTGGGCTGCCAAAGCCAGCTGAAGTGGAAAGGCTGGTGCCCTGGACCCTGGATTTCCCTCAGAGATGTTGGAAATGTATTTATGGAGACAATTGCATTTTGTCTTTACGTGAGAATGGAGCTAAATGGGTCTGTAAGAGGAGGCTATTAATTATATTGCCAATATCAAGACGTTTTCCTTCCTTTCATTCATTGTGATTCAATGCGTTTCAATCCCTCAATGCTCAGATGAGTGGCCTGCTCTCAAAGAAGCACCTTTTGTCACTTAGCCTACACATCCCTTGCTCTAGCTCTGAGCGAATCATTTTATTCTCATGTGCCTTTGCTCAGGCTGGCTCCTCTAACGGGAAGGCTTCTTCTCCCCATCAGTTCGAAGGTGAATGCCTCATCACTTAAGGTTATAATCACATCTCATCCTTGTCCAGCAAAGCCTTCTGGGTTGCTTCAGGCCGGTAGAGAGTTCCTTCTTTCTGTATTCCCACTGGACTCAACCCATTTCTCCCGCACAAGTTGGAATTCCTTCATTCTTCATATCATTTTAAACCAGTGGTTCCCAACCAGCGTTGACACCCTCTTTGAGGGGTCCCATATCAGATATCCTGTAGATCAGATATTTTTATGTTACGAGTCACAGAAGTAGTAAAATCACAGTTATGAAGTAGCAACAGAACAGTTTTATGCCTGAGGGTCACCACGCCGTGGAGAACTGTTTTGAAGGATCGCAGCACTAGGAAGGTTGAGGACTGCTGCGGTGTTTCAGATGATCCTCGTGGTCACAGCTTGGCCCTACACCCTGAGACGGAGACTTCCTCTAGGTGGCACCCCATTTCACTTAGCTCTGAACCGACAGCCGCAGCACATAATAGGAATTCATTTAACTAGGCAGATGGACTGGGTGAGTCATCTGGCCAGTGTTCCCTGCCAACAGCAGGCCAGGCCCCTCGCTGGACCCTGGAGGTGCAACAGTGAACGCGACGGTATGGCCCCTACCACAGAACATCCCATGGCATCTGTGTAGGAATTAGAGGACAACTAGTGGGAGTTGGGGCTCTCCTTCCGCTGTGCAGGTCCCGGGGATTGAACTCAGGTCATCAGGCTTGGTAGCAGACATCTTTAACCACCAGCAATCTCACCAGTTCCCAAGTTATTATTTTTAACTTTATTCTCTTTTTATTCTCTAGTAATGATGCAACAGTGGTATTGTGGACTTGGGAATCTCAATGCAGGAATTTTCTTCGACCTCCTGTCTCTCACTTGCTATGTAACTGTAGGCAAATCTCACCTCCTTCCTGGTCTTTCCTCAGTTGCCCAGAGGCAATAATCAGGTCTCTGTTGGTGTGGAGCTGCAGAGGGGTAAACAGGACCATCCATAACTGGATTTCCACAGCGGGACTCAGAGCCACCTCATTTGCATTGTGCTTCTGCTGGCCAGACAAGCATTACCTCCACGCACAAGGAAGTCGAGCGTGGAAGAGACAGTGCTGTATTTGAAGTGGCTGCTCCATATCGTCACTTCTGATCGCCCGAAGGGACTGATTCTGGTGTCTGCTCCTCTGTCTGACTGCCTAGAGTCTTGAAAGGGTTTCGGGGTCCTGTGGATCCAGGCAGACCAGGGTAAGCCCATCCACGCAAGGGAAGGGTGGAATTACAGAACTAAAACCTTTTTTAAGCCCCTGCGCTGCCTAAGATGAGGAAAATGTAGATCCAGGCAGGCTAAGCCACCTCTTCCAGAGTCACACAAGAATTAGGGGAGTCTGGGACAGGGATGTTGGGAGTGAAGTCTGGAATGAGAAGACTCTTGGCTCTATGTGGTTGGTCAGATCATGTGCAGCCTTCCATGCTGACTGCTGGTAGAGTCATGTCCGGAGCCAGGTCCTGGGGGAGGGAGAGAGGAATTTGGCACTATCTGAGGTTTGGGGTTCCAGTGATTTCCAAACTGCAGCATCACCAAGGAGGCAACACTGAGCTGACCCCGCGGGAGGGCAGAGGGAGTTTGGGAGAGACCCTCCTTGCTAGAGGGATGAACCAATGGAAAGGCGGGTGATTGAAAAGAGAGAAATTGAGATGGATAGCAGGAAATGGGAGGAAACCTCATTTGTAGATTGTTCTGAAACTATTTGTCAGGCAATTTCCTCTGGAAATCTTTCTAGTGAGTTGATTTCTATCACACAGGCTGTTCCTCCCACCCTTATCTCTCTCTTACTTTTTTCCATCTTTTCTTGTCTTTATACCTTCTCTCTCCTACAAAAGTGGGTCTGTGGAAGTAGGCCAGAGTAGGGATAGAACCTGGAGTTGTACAACGCTGTTCTGAGTCCCATCATTCTTGGCAACCTGTAGGTCAGATTATGTTAGACCCCACACACCAGGCTAACCAGGTTAGGAAAGTAGAGATCTCCAGGTCTATGGCGATGCCCACTATCCTTTAAGTCACACATCCCCGTATTCATAGTAGAGATTAGCTGGAAGGTAATCAGAGCAGCCATAATAGAGGAACCCTCTGGACCCAGTTTCCTCATCATTTAAATGGGAATGGTAGCTTCCAATCTTCTTGTGCTTAGGGCTACAGTGAAGACTTTGTAATTTTTGTAGTTACAAAGAGCCAATAATTGTTATTTGGAAAAGCTACCGACATTTGTCTATCCAAGCTCTCACTGCTGGGAAGAAGCCAATTGTCTCCCTCATTCCTGTCATTACTGAAAGACCTGCTGGCTTCCAGGCTCATGATGCAGGCGCCTTGCCCCAGGAGGACAGTCTCTACTATGAAGCCTGTCTATTCACAAGCCCAGCTGCTTCTCCAGGCTCCAGGCTCCTGCCCTGCCTGACTTTTGTCTGCTAAACTCCTTAGATCTGATGAATCTAACCCAAAATTAAGACAGTTTATCCACAATTCAACTTTGACTTATCTGGTGAACTCTGCATAGCTTAAAGTCAAAACCCACAACAGAGGAACCTTCTTGAAAGTTTCTAACCTTCTTTGGAAAAAGGGAATCACTAAGAGGAGTCTAGGCCATGACCAAGCTTGCTTCATACCACTGGCCTTGTGTAGCTTCAGAGCAAATGAAGCAAAGAATTACCTGGAATGAGGATGTGAGGAACTTGTCTGCTAATACAATAAACATTTCTGAGCGCCTGTCGAGTGCTGGCTTGTGCTTGTTCATGGCCAAGTGCGTTGAATGCCCTTCCTGCTTACAGGCTACCAGTGACAGTCATTTCAAGGGACAATTTAATAAGAGGCAATGATGGTGGAGAAATGTCTGAGTTCCCAGAGTTACCCAGTGTAACCAGAAGCCCATAACAGAACAGAGACGGAGAACTGGAAGAGTTCAAGTCCAGAGAGAGCCAAGCACACAGATCTCTCTATTTTATATCATGTGATTCCCTTGCCTTGGTTCTCCTAAGCTGTTTTGCTCAGTGTTAAGTAGGAGAAGCATGAAGAGGGTTCTCCATGTGAAGCTGGGCTGAGTGGAGCTGAGGAAATAAGAGGACAGAGGACACCTTTTTGAGATTGCCGCATGTGAGGGCTAGGAGATCCCCACTCTAACCTGTGGTTTCCCTGGCCAGCCAGCCCTAGGGCCTTCAGCCAGCTGGAAAATCTCCTGTCTGTTTGCCAGTGCTGTGCATCCCTGCCCAGGAAAAAGGGAATGCCATAACATCCCTCAGAGGTGGAATATGGCAAGGAAGTCCGTTAGCCATCAGTCATCATGCCTGGGTGAAAACCTCACCCGTGCGAGCTCTGCATGGCGCTGGATGTGCACGTCCTTCTGTGCCCCAGTTTCCCCATTTGTACAATGAGGAGAAACAGTGGTACCTTCCTTATGAAACTGCTGTGAGGAGCAGTTGAGTTTTCTGCCCAGTGCCCACATCATCACTGGGACTACAGTAAATCTGGTAAGGAAGAGCTGTCATTATTCAAGGGTTGATGAATAAACCCGAAAGGTTTAGGGTTTAGGCTAAAAGGGTATGGCATCTGCTCTCCAGGCAGGGCCGCCACAGGTTCCCCTAAAGGAGAATTCTAGAGTGGCTCCTCAACCAAGGAATATTGGGGAAGAGGCTAATGTATGACCAACACAGGGTGTAGTCAGGAATGCCACCTCTGGATGTCATGTGGGGAAGATACCTTCTCTGGGAGAAAGGGCCTGGGGTATGGGCTAATTCCTGAAGACAAGAGGAGTGGGAAAGGTTTCCATCCCTACTCCCTGTTGTAGAATTTTCAGAGTTGCTGACAGGAGCAGGAATGCTCTGTTTCTTGAGAACATTCTCTTTTTTCCTAACCACACTGGACCCACAAAACCCATAACGACCATTTTGTCCATTCATTAGAAAGATTCCTGATTGCTGGAGCCCCAAACAGCTCTGAGTCTTCCTCTCTTCCACGCTGGCATTCAGCTCAGAGCTGCTAGAGCAACAGGCCATTCACCCTGGAGCAACCTCTTCTTCTCTCCTCCCAGGACAGGATCCAGGGGCAAAATCCAGGCAGGGCC